GTAAAATTTTTTCCCTCACCTCATATGTTTGTGTCAGACTGATCTGTACAAAATTTATTTTGTGGTTCTGTAGTTTTGACTTTTGATTATTATCGTCCTTAGTCTTCAATATATGTTTTTCCTAGATGAGCAGAAAACATGGACTACCATTTTGTGTGTTTTGTATTCATGTGTGTGTGTGTGTGTGTGTGTGAGCATGTGTGTGTGTTTGAGCGTGTGTGAGTGTTTGAGCGTGAGTGAGTGTTTGAGCGTGTGTGAGTGTTTGAGCGTGTGTGAGTGTTTGAGCGTGTGTGAGTGTTTGAGCGTGTGTGAGTGTTTGAGCGTGTGTGAGTGTTTGAGCGTGTGTGAGTGTTTGAGCGTGTGTGAGTGTTTGAGCGTGTGTGAGTGTTTGAGCGTGTGTGAGTGTTTGAGCGTGTGTGAGTGTTTGAGCGTGTGTGAGTGTTTGAGCGTGTGTGAGTGATTGAGCGTGTGTGAGTGTTTGAGCGTGTGTGAGTGTTTGAGCGTGTGTGAGTGTTTGAGCGTGTGTGAGTGTTTGAGCGTGTGTGAGTGTTTGAGCGTGTGTGAGTGTTTGAGCGTGTGTGAGTGTTTGAGCGTGTTTGTGCGTGTTTGTGCGTGTTTGTGCATGTTTGTGCGTGTTTGAGCATGTGTGTGCATGTGTGTGTGTGTGTGTGCATGTGTGTGCGTGTGTGTGTGTTTGTGTATGTCTATGTGTTTGTGCGTGTGTATGTTTGTGCATGTGTGTTTGTGCGTGTGTTTGTGTGTTTGTGTGTGTGTGTGCATATGTGTGTTTGTGCATGTGTGTGTTTGTGCATGTGTGTATGTTTGTGTGGGTGTGTGAATGTGTGTCGGTGGGTGTGTAGGTGCATGTGCACATTTGTGTGTGCCTCTGTGTGTGTGCGTTTGTGTTTTTTCGTGTGTGTGTGTGTGTGTGTGTGTGTGTGTGTGTGTGTGTGTGTGTGTGTGTGTGTGTGTGTGTGTGTGTGTGTGTGTGTGTGTGTGTCTGCACAAGTGTCTGTGTATATATGTGCATATATGTGTACATATGTGTGTGTATGTGTACACATATGCATGTATGTGTACACGTGTATGTGTACATATATGTGTGTGTGTACATATGTGTAGATATACGTGTGTGTGTGTGTGTTTGTGCATGCGTGTGGGTGTGTTTGTGCATGCGTGTGTATGTGTGTGTTTGTTTGTGCGTGCGTGTGTGTGTTTGTGCGTACATGTGTGTGTGTTTGTTTGTTTGTGTTTGTGTATTTGTGCGTGTGCGTGTGCGTGTGCGTGTGTGTGTGTGTGTGTGTGTGTGTGTGTGTGTGTGTGTGTGTGTGTGTGTGTGTGTGTGTGTGTGTGTATATGTGTGTGTGTGTGTGTGTGTGTGTGTGTGTGTGTGTATGTGTATGTGTGTGTGCGTGTATATGTGTGTGTGTGTCTGTGTGTGTGTTTGTCTGTGTGTGTGTTTGTAGGTGTGTGTGTAGGTGCCTATGTATACATGTGCATATATATGTGTACATATGTGCATGTATGTGTACACTTGTGCATGTATATGTACAAGTGTATGTGTACATATGTGTGTGTGTGTTTACATATGTGTGTGTGTGTTTGTTTGTTTATTTATTTTTGTACATGTGTATGTGTGTGCCCCTTTGTGTGTGTGTGCCCGTGCGAGCATGTGTGTATGCCATTGCACAAGTGTTTGTCTGTGTGTGCCCGTGTGTGAATGAGTGTGCGTGTGTATGTGATGAAAGATCTTTGAATCGTCTGTATATGACCTGATTGCAAGGAGAATGGAAGTGACTTGGTATTAATGAAAATGATGCTGTTGCAGCAGATTGCTTTAAGTTATTATTAATGTAAGAAAATTATAACAACAATTACAGCCATGTGAATAACAATAACACTTATCATTGTCATTATTGCTATCATTGTCATCATAATCAGTATTATTATTATTAATGTTATCAACTTTATCATTATTATTATTATTATTATTATTATTATTATTGTTATTATTATTGTTGTTTTTATTAATTATCATCATCATCATCATCATTATTATTTATATTATTATTATTATTTATTTATTTAATTATTATTACTTTTTTATATTAATATAACATTGTTAGCATTATCATCATCATCATCATCATCATCATCATCATCATCATCATCATCATCATCATCATCATCATCATCATCATCATCATCATCATCATCATCATCATTGTTATTATTATTATTAACCCATTGCTGCCTGGGAAAAAGAACATAGATGGCTCAGCTAGTCCTGATTTCACCTTTCCTTGAATTGGCGGGAAAAAACGTATTCTTACTAGTGCTGTAAATATAGATGGTGTTATTTTTAACAGCAAATTAGGAAAACATTAAATATTTTCGTAAATCAATGAAAAGGGTGAACAGGCGAGCCAGGCAGTACTCGTAATTGGCTCATTGGTGACTTAGTACAAGTGTAGCCATCTATGTGTATAAACAATCAAAC